TTGCGACCAGGTGTGACGAAAGCCCATAGCCTACTGAGTAGGACTGTAACAGTTCGGAAATAGTTCAGTTCAAAAGAACTGTTCGAACAGTTCATTTGAACTGAACTGAACTGTTTGAACAGTTCAGTTCAGTTAAGAGGAGCTGTTCGAAATTCCTCTTAACTGAACTGCACTGTTAAAAACAGTTCGTTTGAACTGAACTGAGCTGAACTGTTCGAACAGTTCATCTGAACTGAACTGCGAACTGTTATAGTCCTGCTACTGAGAATTGTTTGATCCTTGAATTTTTTTTAGTTTCGAGAAAAATCAAAATATATAGATAGACATATGCAGAATTTCATGCTCTATCTTTCTGATGAATCAAAATTGAAATCTAGGAGCATAACAAATTTACGACCTTATCCGGCGGTGTCCTTTAATTTAAAATGTATTTTGACGAACTCCTAGATCTTAACAATCTCAACTCAACTGAAACATGTTTTATTCTTTTAACATTTATGAAAATTGTTTTTCTTTTCGTTGTATGTTACAAAGAACTATATTTATTGTCAGTGTTGAGAGATCCTTAAAATGATGCGAAGAAAGACAACAAAAGTGATCGCTTTGAAAAACAATAATCTGTTAGTTCAAAAATAATTTTCCTTTGAATTGCCGCATATTTGAATCTCGTGTATTCAAGTAAATTCCATATGTTTCAGCTTTTACGATAAGCTTTTATGAATTCAGCTATAAATGGCTGCTTGGATCTTTTGATTTCTTTTCAAATTAAGTTAGTTTTGTTTACAATTGATATTCTTCGTGAAATAGGCTGAGCTTTAGTGAATGATACGTAATCAACTTTTTCGAATTATTTATGCCAAAATAAATGTAATAGTATATGATTGAAAAACAGATATTAATAACAGAGACACAGTGTAGTTTGATTTATTTGAAACAATTTCCAAAATGAGGTTTTGAAATTATTTTCAGTTGGCTGGTAATAGTCAGATAAGGTCTTTTCACGATACATTTTTATAATTTTTAGATTTTAATGACCTATCTTGGGATAACTCTGACGCTACATATAACTGTAGTTAGTTATTATCTTGGGCGTTAGAATAAGGCTTCCGTTAAAGATATTCCAACTTCTATTATAATATCAGGCATTATAGTTATTTTGCTTTTATTTTCGAATATAACTAGCAACTTAATTTTAAAAAGTAGTTAGGAAAATTGATTTCCTTCAGCGGAAAGATTGCTTAATTCTTTTATAGTGGGAAAATATCTGAACTCATTTGAGGCTGCTGACTTTTGAGAAATAGAATCGGGAACAGGGTTGCCACCTCTTCCGCTTTTTGCGGAAAGTTTCCGCTTTTTTTCCGCTCTTCCGCTTTTTCATATAAAAGACTATCGTTGTTTAATTGAAAACTTAACCATGCAAGAAACTAGATAACGTGATGTTAGACGAAAATTTCTTGGAAAATAATTTTCTAACGTATAATTCTATACAACTCTTGAAAACTTTTCGCTTCACATGATAGATTTTCCAATAAATTTTTCTAGTGAAACACATTTCGTGTTCATTTTGGTCTCCACTATGAAATACATTCACCTGGATCTGAAATGCCAGTGAAGAAAAGAAAATTTCTTTCAAGCTCTTATTCATTTGTTAATATAATNTTTCGACCGGAAATTGTTTATCTTTTCTTCCTGGAGTTTCAGGCCAGGTACGCCCTGATATTTTTTATGAGTTGTCTATTATGTTGTGGAACTGCGAACAAAGTAGTACTATGAGCAATAAAGCAAGGTTACTTAAACTCTTGGAAATGTGAAAGGTCAGCAAAAAGCAGCTTTCCGTTTTTTCTATTTTTGTTTCCGCTATTTCCCGCTCTTTTTGATCAAACTTTCCGCTTTTCTGACCTGATGAGGTAGCAACCCTGATCGGGAACTGGCAATCGTTAGATACTGATATTTCTTTAACCATACAGATTTCTCGTGTTCGTGGTCGACTTTAACGAGATATGTTTGAATGAGAGAGATGAAATCACAAAACGCAGATCTCTTTTCTCACTTACATATTTAAATATGAAAGCATAATGAATCTTTATTCAACATATACCAAAGTTCCTGAAAAATATTCTGTTACGTAAATCGAACTTCTCTATGTTGGTAATGGAGAATAACGAGATACTGCTCATAAATACTCTATATCGTTTAGAAGTTTAGTAGAACAAGAATTGGCTCAGTTTTTGCACTTAAATTTAGTTTTGTATTTGCAAAATTGAACGATACCTTTTCAATCGCTACAATGACGTTTCTTGAATTAACAAACATTAGATTTTATCAAACATCAAAATATATGCTGAATTCAATATTATGGTTAAAAAATCAAAGATTATTCGATTTAAGTGAATCCCTGCATTAATAATATGTAAAGTAAATATGACCAAATAGTCTGATCTATTAAATGATTTTCAATTACAACAGTTGTTTCAGTATTTTGAAATGTTATTGTCTTACAACATTGAGTTCTCTTTTTGTAAATGTCGATCATTCAATCTGAAGTCAATAACTTTGACAATCAATACGTTCTAATCTGTGTCCATTTACTGATTAATAGGATGTATTTGTAAAATATTGCACAGCAAATCTATGAAAAAAATACATGCAAAACATAGTCATCATATTAGTGCTTTACTAAAACACTGTCGATTTTAATAAAACACATATTTCATTAGCTTATATTATAAATCAAAGAAAGTTTGAGAACATAAAAAATCTGTATTATCGTATTTTAGGTAACTCTGACAACCGCTTGTACATAACATTATGAATACACTACACATTTCGATCAATATAAATAAAATTCGAATATCCTACAATGGAACAGCAGTATTTCATAAACAGAAAAAGTTTTAATAACATTCTTGAGTTCGTTTGAAAAGTAGGCAAGTCAATCCAGTATTTTCAGCTCATCATATACTGTCGATACTTATAAATATCTGTCATAGTGTATTAAAATTCAGAACAGATTAAACAATTTTGATCTGTAGTCATGTAATTTGAAAATTTTCAATGTGGAACCAAATTATTTTAAAACGAGCTAGCAAAATTCCAAACTGCATTACCCGGATCAAATTTCTTTTCATCAGAGCTGAGCTGAATTTCACTCTATTCGATGGTATATTTATTGTATTACTATGACACAGTTACAGTCACAGTCAATAGATACACACATGCATCACATACATACAGAACAACAAATAGAAACAGATAGATATAACATGGACTAAAATCTGATTGATGTAAACGAGAAAGGATAAATTACATATTACAAAAACAGCCAATCAAGTTTTAGGCAAGAAATTCGGCTGATTAGTGATCATTATTACCCAAATACAATTTGTCTGATAGCTTTCTTTTCTTTGCACCATTGTTCTTGTTTATCATATATAAACAGGTGAATAAATAGTTACTTCGAATCAATTGTTTTCTTATAGCGTGTATACAATATATTACTGTGTGAATAGTTTGCAATTGATGTGATGGCTTCACCAAAAAAACAATTCAGTAACGTATTTGAACATGTAGACTATGCCGATGTTGACAAACTTAAAGTAATTTTTACCTCTCGTTTGCTAATTTTACTTTACAAGTCTTTTTAGCTACGTAACGATTTAATTAATAATTCACAACCAACCGAGATGAAATTGAAGTACTATTCCGAACGGGCAATGATACGCTTTAATACGTGTAAATGGGATGGTGAGTCAATGGGTTGTGGTGTGCATTGGAATAACGTAATTTCTTTCTTAGAAGTTTTGTCTGATATTGCTGTCATCGAAAAGCATCAAACTTTATCAGATTCATTGTTACTCATAAAATGGTATGATATATCGATCTCTGCCATTATTTCTATATAAATAGAAAATAAAATATTTCTAATTTTTAGTAAATCAAGTCTTCATCATGAAGCACATAAGATTCGCGATACATTAAGATCCACAATGGGATTAAAACGTACGAAAATTCTTAAAATTTAACCTATACAATCAATTACAATTTCTTTAGTATTGGATAACAAAGATCATATGATGTTCTTCAATGCTATCAGTCCAGAAACTATTAATAAGCTGATTGGAAGTAAGTTGAAGAGGTACTTGAAATAAAATAAATTTTTCTATTCTTTTAGAAACGAAGCACAAACGTAACAATTTAAAACGACTACAACCATGATTCTTATTTACGTTGCTTTTTTCAATCCCTTTTCAAATAAATTTAGTATATTTGCAATTTACATAAAGCCATATTTGTTCTATTCGACTTTGTTTTAGAAAAAAAATTGATCAACTTCACCTGAATACAAAAATTGCATTTCCATTTTGTTCATTCGAATGATATGTTTTAAGTACGCCTGAATTTTATTAGATTTATATTTTCTATATCAGTCTGTTTTAGAAAGAAAAGAAATTCTTTGAATGATGATCGAAACCAAAAATAATTCTGTTTTGATATTCCTGTTCAAAAGTTTAAAAGTATTGTTAAATTTGATTAGAACTCAACGTTATTTGATTTTCTTTTAGAAAATTTGTTCAATTTTGATCACACTTGGAAGCTTTTTGTTTCTTTTCATATTGCTGACAATTCAAAATATGAGTATGTTGTTTAAGTTATATTAAAAGTTCAATAATATCTCTATTTTGCTTGAATATAATTTAGAAAAGGAAAGAAAGTTCAATATTGATCGAAACCAAAAACAGCCCGTTGTAACGGCATGGCCATACGGATATTGTTTATCTCTTGATGTACATGTGTGCATCTATTTCTTTATATAAATTTTCTTTTTTTTCTTCGCTCGTGCTTCTTGTTAGAAAGATATATTAAAAAATCAATAATAATTTTTGTTTCAGGTTTTACCTTTCTTTCTCTATCTTCTATATACTCATTTTCTGTGAAAATAATAACTTTTCTTTCTCTTTTCTTGATTCATCATCTATCTTGAATTTGTTCTTTATCAATATATTGTCAAGTTCATTGTTATTATTTTGTTATTAATAAATTAATTGGATCTTCAAGCGCGATCAGCTCATATTGTTATATTTCTGTCATAATTCATTATTATGGCACCCGATAATTTTAACGGTTGCGTTTCAGCTATATTAGCTAATTACCTTACACCCCTATCTCGTCTTATTTGTTTCTAAACAATATTATTTCAAGTAGGATTGAATTTAATTCGTGATGAACTTATTATATGAATTTCTTTAAGAAAAGTGAAATAAATCGCGAAATATCGATCAAAAAGAAGTAAAATATTTTTTTCTGCCACATGTATAAATACATTTCAAAAAAAGGAAGTTATTTATTGTGTTGACTTTTACAAAAACAAATTTTAAGTGGGAAAACTTCGCTCCTTAGTGAACCTACTATTATTGTTGGAATTCACACGACCTAATGCATAGTCAAAAGTTAATGTTCATGGTAGAAATAATGGAAATAATTGTAAAGAGCAAATGTGAAAAATGTCTTCCAAAATTTGATTGTTGCACATCGGTTAGTTCTTGAGATCTTTTATTTGGATTATCATTTGTAAAAATCTACTTGTTTGTTTGGAAAATAATGGTTTGAGATTATATGAAACAATTACCCAAACAGGTTTATTTCTGAGCAAATTATTACTCAGTTTGAAGTTGTTATCAAAATTATTAATCAATTATTTTCTATGCTATATCTCTTCATAAATATTGAAACATGTCTTGAACTTGAAGCCTAAATGTAACAATGTAAAAAACAAGTTGATGGGCGATAAGATCTATCCAATTGTGAAATAAATAATGTCTTTCAAAACCATAACAGTATATCTTTCAATACCAAATCGTTATGCTGGTAGAAATACTTTAAATAAAATATACTGTGAAATATTTCTGGACTTGAAAGACTTTTATTATTTCATTTGTCAATCATTGTACAACGTTTTGAAATATAGTTAATAAAATGAATCTTTCTCTGAATACAATACTATTTTATTCCGTATCAATCGCTTCACATCAGAGAATTTCTGTTTTTTTTTACAGGAGCACTTTCATCGTAAGAATATGCTATTTAGATGAAATGCAGATTTGCTATTTTTTCTTCTGTTTCCGTACAAAATGGTCTCTTTCTTTGATGTGTATACCAATAATAAACTCCTTGAGAGGAAATTTTAAGTTTAATTCTCCGTTTCGGTATTTATAAATAGGACAAACCTAGAAAAAAAGTTGACTTATCTGCATCTGCTAATTAATACTATCACTGACGTTCTCAATCTAGGATAAGGGTGTGAGTGTGGGTGGGTGTGTGGGTATTGTTTTATCAATCACAGCTGCATCCACACCTACACCCATAAACAGTCCTGAATAAATGTAGATGTGCGGTTTCATTTCGGTGCCAGCTCTTCTTGAGAGTACGCGAACGAAATAATGTCTCTATAATGAAAAAATATTCTTCTAACCAAATAATAGATTGAATTGCATTATTGGTTTTGTTGATTCAATATATCTAGCAAATTCTACAAGTTTCAATCGGTTTGCAATTATAAAATTTGATATTGACATAAAATTTGTGGCTGCTGATGAAGGCAAAAATGATTTAAAACTAACCAAACAAAATCGAAAATTATTGCGCTTCAATCAAATTACACTTACTCCGAACTTAGTTGTTGCCAAAGAAGTGATGTTGATGGAAAAAGCGACAGTGGTGCATATTGTGTGTAATTGTTATCAATCATAATCACTGGTGTTGTAGCGGAATTTTGCAATGAATGATAATTTTGATCGAAAACGACTGGACGGGAAGATTTCATGATATTCGAACCCTAAATTGATACATTTTTTATCTTACGAAAGCTATACCTTCAATTACTTTAATAAATATTTGAAATTCTTTTCATTTTTCGTTTGGCAAGAACTTGAATATGCGATGATACTTGTTTTCGTGTACGTAATTTGCCCGTACGCATTTTAATATAAAGTGAAATAAGTTCATTTCTACCAAACATTTTACCTTCCTTGGATAGAATTTTTCTTCTACCACACGGCGGATAAATACTCAATGCTTCATAGATTCGTGAATTAGAGCAAAAAACAAAAGCAGAAATGTCATCATACATGAAAGCATCGTTCCATATCTGAACTCCAAACACTTTTGCCATCATTATTTTGATCATCATCTAATTCATCAGTGGACGTCGATTCTTCTGATTTAATCGAACCATTTACACGATCAAAATCTTTCACGTATTGTAACGATTATGACCAACCTGACAACATACTAAAATCAAATACAACTAAACTGATCATCATCGACAGCACAGAAAAGATACAGTAACAATCATCACCATCATCAAAAAGAAAAGCTACATCACACACAGAGAAGTTAATTCGATGAGTAAATAAAGCATGTTGTTTGTTTCGAGCTTAATAATAAATGATCTATGCATGGCTGTACTTCATCACATATGGTGATTTAAAGTACAATGCCAACGAAAATAGTTAGTTTTTTTTCTACCTAATTCGATTATCAGTAATACTCGTTAGAAGGGGTGTGGGTGTTGGTGACAAGAAAAGCATTCAAACCTGCGCACACCCACACCCGGGAATTCATAACACATTTGAAGATTCATAAATATCATTATTTTCATTCAAACAAACAAACATTCGTTTATTTCTATTTTAAATGATTTTCATCAAAAATAAAAAGAATAATATTTCAATTAATAAAATAATTTAATTTATTAATCAAAAAACTTGTTTGTCTTTAAATCAATCGCATTTAGAAATTGTTTTGATTAATTTTCTAAAATTGACAAAAAAATCTTTAACATTCATAGATAATTCATTATTTGATATAAAATAATATTTAGATAAATTATTTAGATCGAGAAATACTGTTTTCTTATAGGAACTTTGAACTATTATAAATATTCTTTTTAAAAGATTTTATTCATTGATTGTCTTTTAATTTATTAAGAATACTTGTTTCGAATTCGATTTATCACAAGGAAAGAATTACAATAGGTTCGTTCGTATTAATAAAATGACTTGAATGTGCTGATCTATTGAAAAATTCTAGATGATGTCATATCTATATGATTTTTCCTTTGTGTCAATATAATCAAAGATCTCCATAGAAATTAATTAGAAATTCGTATGTATTCAGAAAATTGAAGTCAACATCCTATTAATTGGTTGATACAATCGTATGAGTTTTTCTACTGATTTATTAAATTAATGTTCTCATATTATATTTTAATATTTTAATATTTGAAATAAATCATAAATAAAAAACTTGAAATTCGTTAGTTTTTACTAGTTAATCATTTTCTATATGAAGACTATTTGACAGGACTATAATATAGTGTTTCAGTTGAATAGAATAGGCTTTTTCTTAATAATGATGTGATACTAAATCTTAGTAAGAATTTATGAAACTTATTTGTCCTTTTTCTTTTTCATCTCTTTCATAGTCATATCTATAGTAAAATAATATATCTATGTGCCGATGTCTTTTTATCAACAATAATGTTTATTTTCTGATAAAGATGAAAGAAATTTTTTTCCTGAATATTATTCAAAAATAGAAATTATTTTGTTGTAGCCTAAAAAGAAAAAACAATGTCCAATGATCTACGTAAATTATCACCAGAATTTTCAATTGATGAAGCAAAATCTCTAGCTAATCAATATTATGGTTTAAAAGAATTCATTTGTCAATTACCAAGTGAACGTGATCAAAATTTTCTTTTTGAAAAAGAAAAATTAAAATTTATATTAAAAATTTCCAATATTGATGAAATTTATTCAGTAATTGATATGCAAAATTGTGCAATAGAATCTATTAAACCTTGCATACGAGTTATACCTGATTTAAATGGAAATATGATTATTAAATATAAAAATCATTTCGTACGTCTTGTTAGTTATTTTCCAGGAATTCCTTTAGCTGATTATCAACCTCATAGCGAAAAATTATTTTTTAATTTAGGAAAAGTTCTTGCAAATATTGATAAATCTCTTAGTCAATTTGAACATGAAGGTACAAAACGTAATCTTTATTGGAATATAACAAATGCTGAATATATAATTAATAAATATAAACACTTAATTATTGAAAATAATCGTCGTCAAATAGTTGAAAATATTCTTAATGATTGGATTAAATATGTTGTTCCACAATTTTCATCTCTTAGAAAATCTGTTATTCATAATGATGCTAATGATTATAATATTATTATTGTTGATCAAGATAATATTGGTTTAATTGATTTTGGTGATATGTGTTATACATATCTTATTTGTGAAGTTTCTATTGCATGTGCTTATATTATGTTAAATAAACAAAATCCAATTGATTCAGCAACATATCTTATTCGTGGTTATACTCAAATTTATTCATTGGAAAATATTGAAATTGATTTAATTTATTATTTTATTCGCACTCGACTTGCAATGAGTGTAACAATATCTGCTCATCAAAAACAAATTCAACCGGATAATCCTTATCTTGTGATCAGTGAAAAGCCGGCTTGGACTTTACTTGAACAATTAAATCATTTTGATAGTAAAACTGTTTGTCATATTTTTCGTTCTGCTTGTATTTTATCAAATTAAATTGTTTATATATTCATAAGAACAATGTACAAGAGTTGATAAATGAAAATTGTTAATGTTTAAACAAATTATCAATGTCAATATAATAGTTTAACTGAACTATTTACCATTTGTAAAAAATCAAATAAATTTTTTTTTCTCAGTAATAGTTTTCATCGATTTTAAATAAATATAAGAACAAAAAAAAAGAAGTCGTTGATATTATTAATATTGATAGAACTACGATTCTTCAGGTTTTTGATCAATATTTTTATTTCTGTTATGTTTTTAATTCAATTTATAAAATTAAATCGATAATTAAAATTAATATAAATTTTGTTTTTCATTGTTATCTTATTATCCTAGTAGCCTAGTTTCATATTCTTCTACTCAACAACAACAGCAATAGTATTGACTTCTACTTTTAATTTAGAAATGTTCTATTATCCAAAAAAACAATCAAATTTCAAATTTTCTCAATCTAAATTAAGTTGAATTTCTCTTATATTCGATAGTAAATATTATGAGGCGTTACCTAATTGAATTTGATGTTTAAATAATTATAATAATTCATAGTCTTGAAGTAAAAATATCTATAATAATGTTTATTTTCTACTCTAATTAACTAGTAATAAAAATAGATTGACGCTCGATTATTTTGCCAAAAATAATCATTCGCCAATTTTTTGTTTTTCGATTTATATTCAATATTTAATAGAAATGAAGAATTTTTATCCGGGAATCAGTATTAAAATAATCTTCTTTCGATTTAGCAATGGAAATTGTTTTCGTCTATTTTCTTTTTATATTTCAATCTTTTTTTGAAGTTTACATTACTTGAAACGTTCAAAAATAGTTTCTATGATAGAATCCTTTTATTAATTTTTAATTTTTATATAGGATATGTTTTGATTTCAAAGATCTTCGAAAAACATAAAATTTATTTAGAATTAAATTTTTGTTTTATTTTGATCAAGAATATAATTTGAGTAGAAAACAAAGTTGAAAATAATATTGATAATTTTTGAGATAATCAACAGATAGATGGAAATTCAAATTGATACTTATTAGATCAGTCTGGTCTTCCACCGAGGGTGTGTGAAAAAAAGAGGAAACAGAGGTGGAATGAGTGACCAGATATGGACATATTTTTTTACTCATCGTATTCTTGTTGCTATTTCAAATGGTATGTTTCCAAAGTATTGGTCATCTTCTTTTACTATGAATACATCAATCGTTCTCAATCAATCGACCACACTTATTGATTTACTTGTTGTTTCTCCTATTTTATCAGTATCATCGCCATCATTATTTATTCAACAGCAATCTCCATCTGAAGATATTCTTTTAGAATCATTCTCAGTCGGTAAACCTCTAATCTATCTACAATAGCTGCATTTGAACGACTTATAAACTTTTGCCAAGCAATATATTCCTATCGACGTTACTTTCATGAAACTTCACTTGTTCATATTTGGATCCCAGTGATGTACAATTGAAAGCGCATGTATGACAAATCTATGTATTTGATACTCGTGAATATACCTATAAATAATGATCATAAAAGATTTTATCCGAATATTGATTTGTTGAACAGACAAAATTTTGAACTTGGAACTGACTTGACGCTCTATTCGAACCGTTTCTTTTCCCATATCAAATTTACTCGTCGAATGTTTAAATTTAATGGTACTACAGATAAATCTCCAATAGTGTTTATGTTCAATAATAAACACAAAAGACAATTTCAGTAGAATAATTTGATAATTAATATTCAACGAAATTTTAACATAAAAACTTTAAAAGAAATCAAATTTTATTTTTAAGACTTTCGAAGATTTCTTCTATTACAATATATTTGATTTTATTGAAGAAGAAACTATGAAATGATAAATATAAAGTTAATTTGTTAATTTAACACGTTTATTTGAATTTGTTTGATGAAATGTTTTTGATGAAATCCAAATAGATAAATAATGAATATCTAATATTTACGTTGAATTTATTTTCTTATTTGATAACCATTGAAGAATATTTTTTATAAAAGGTGATTTATTAAATGAAAATTTAAATTTAAAGCTTGATAAATGTTCAAGTCGTTTAATAGGACTTTTAATGTTATCAATATCAAATATATCAATATCAAGATGTTTAACAGTTTTCGGTATAATTGAACAAAAATATTCAATATCAATTGATGAAAATATTCCATGCCATCGATTGAATATTTTAATTGAATTAACATTCGATAAATATGTTAAGAAATTTAAAAATTCTTTTATCATTAAATTAAGATAATCATCACGAGAACATATTATTAAAATTATTTTTTCAATATTATTTAAATGAATTATTTTAGAAAGATATTCAAAGCAATTCAATGAACATTGATCATTGATTGTTAGTTTTAAAGAATTTAATTTAGGAAATAATCGACTATCTGCACCATTCTAAACAAAAGAAAAAGAGAAAGAAAAAGAATTATTTTTAAATCTACACTATAATATTTACGAAAGTTTTTCTCATTTAGATCGAAAAAGAAAAATCATATTTTATACAGTTAAAAAAAAATTTTTATTAATCAAAGTTTAACATGATAAAATTTAGACTAACAATTTTGAAAAGTAGTCAAAGTCGAAATGAAATCTGGTTAAAAGATAATTTGGAAATCTGTTTAATAATTTTTCTAAATCAATGAAGTTAGTAATCACGAAAATGAAAACATATATTTATAAAAAAAAGAATAAAACTGAGATAATTTTTCACTGCATTATTTTGGTTTTTGAGAATAGACAATTGATTTCCTATTTAGTTATATTTGTTGACGGTTATGATACTGACCTTTAGATTTATTGATTTTGTATCTAGATCTGATAAATTTAATTCTAATTGATTAATATAATAAAATCTTTGATTTAAATAATTCATTGAAGATAATGTTGATAATGAAATCATATTTAATTTATCAGAATATTTAAAAGAATTATTTAAACAAGGTAAAGAATATAAATGAATTTCATTGCAATTTTTAATAAAATCACAATTGATAAAACAATTTAAATTCGTAATCCAATAAGACTTTTTAAATTGCTGAATAAATGAATCAATTATGGTATTATTTATTAAAGTTTCATTCGATGAAAAACGAATAAAAAATTGAAAAGTTATCAAGTTTTTTAATTTCTTTTCAAATAAATTTTCTAATTGATCATTTTTAAAAATATTTTCAATAATATTTGTAAATCCGTCTAATTTAAAATAAACGATATCACTCATGAATGAAATAAACCATTGAATTATTTCCATAATTAATTCGCTGTCTTCGATTTTAAATGATTTTAATTGTTTTAAATGAAATGATTTTAATGGAATCTTATTTAAATTTTTCATTGTAAAGTTTTTCAACGTTACTGATTTATATTTATTCGATTTTTCAATTATTTGTACGAATTGATATAAATTTGAATGTATTAGAGTTAAATATTTAATATTCGATGTTTGTGGCCATTGGATAAAATCATTTTGATAAGATCTCATATCTAAATGAACTTCTCTAAGAGTTTCTTTAGATAAAATTTGATAAAGAATTAATATTGTTGATTGATTTAACATTGTAAAATATTGTCGATATTCAATTTCAATAGAATTTAATGGATCATTTATTAAATGTTTCAATATATTTTCTAAATCATTTTCATTTATTTTAATTAATTTTAAAGATTTTAATCGATTTAATTTATTTATCTGAAAATTTTTAATGAAGTATTTCATTATTCCAGGTGTTTTATCGTCATCATTTAATTTTAACGATATTATATTTAATGGATTGATCAAATTAATAATTAAATCAAAAGTTTCTTTTAATATTGATTCAAAATTAATTTTAAAAGAAGTATAATTATTTAAACATGAATAAAATCTTTTTGATGTAAAACAAAAATTAATTATTGAATAACTATCAACATTATCAAATATACGATAAATTATTTCATTTGGTAATTGTTCAATTGAAGACATTATATTTAAAAATATCTGAAAATAATAAAAAGAAATTTTCAATTCGAATAATATATTAATTTATCCGATTAAAATTAATTAATTTCACTGATCTATTTGTTTTTACATATTTGATTTAACTAGTTATAAAAAAAGACGCCTGAAATAATTCTGATCTTCTATAACAATCAAATTTTTGTATTGATATTCGTGTTCGATTACAATTCTCGAAAACAATTATTCTTTTAAAGTTCGTTTTCAACTGTTTCAATCTAAAGATTCAGTAAATAAAACCGAAAAATTTTTGAGTTTTTTTAATAAAATAGAAAACATCGTGTTCTCATTTTTTTTATGATTATCTATTGATTCTATCGATCATTTAGATCCAAGATAGAATTTTACTGACTGATCTCAAGTATTATTTTAAGATTGGCTTCTTGAATTCTTTATTCATAATTGGTTGTCACTTAGGAAATAAAATTCTCATATTGATTAATTTTATTGAACTATTCAAATACAAAAATAATTGAATTCAAAACATTTGAGATCAATTGAGTTATCGTAATCTATCTATCGTTAAATATAATTTTAAACTAGTAAAATCAAATAATTAGATAGTCTATCTGGAGTATAGTTATCGTGGTTCCAAGATTGATTAGTTACTGAGCGTACACAATCTATAGAATTGAATCGAATTCTCTCTTTTTTAGTCAGAAGCTCTTGTGCATAAAAAGTCATCTTTGATTTAAAAATTTTCAATCTTGACAACAAAATTTGATCGAAGTAAATTTCTCAATTATCTAAATAACTTTTGCTACCGAGAAAATAGAGATCTGATATTTCCAGCAATGATGAGAGAAACATATAGACTATCCATATGTCTACGAAATCTTATACTGAAATAATCTTCGTCAGATTTTCTAGAGGTCAAGATTAATGAACTGTCATCCTGATTATCATAAGTACTGTGGAAATTTTGAAAACTTCTTTTTTGTTTACACATTGAAAGGTAATGGTTTGTATACCTATTGATAGTTTCGACGCTCCTCTCACGATTAAGGAAAACTGCAACTTTCTATGTTCTTTGTATCGAAGAAAGAGCTCTTTTATTTTGTAACTAATACTAATTTCCTTTAGATATAATGTCCCCTATCACCCTCACGCAGGCTTTTATGTACAAATCAAATCTATCGTGTTTTTAAATAGAAGCTTGTATTCTGAAAATTTTAACTTCTTTTGTTTATTGAAGAGCCAATTAAATGAATTTGTACGGATAGATGGAGTTTATTAGATGGTTATAAGCAAACGAACAAATCTAATGCAATTATTTTTCATGTATATACTTTTCTATAGAATAACATATAGGAATTCAATCTATTTCTCTAGTCAGTCATAATATAACATGCTAGATAATAGTCTTATCACAAATATGAAACCCTGTTAGACGATGTTGGCGACTTCCAAGTCAACCGGATGTTTTCTTGTTAGAAAGAACAAAGTCTGAATTTCAAATTTTATAGCAAATATCTATTGTTTTAGGACAAATCTGAATAGGAAGAAAAATAGAAAAACAAAGGCCCGCGAAAGATCTCTGGCAACTTCGCTATCTAGAAATACCATAGTCGAGCTATAACGAACTGAAGTCCTATCGGATACTATTGAAAACCAGAAATCACTCAAAAATGTCCGATAGTATTTTGTTGAAAATTGTTGAATTTCTTGGCATCAGATTCCGGTAGGAGTCTAGTGAATTCATATCTGAACCAGAGACCGAAACCGATGACAAAAGTGCCATTCGATTCGATTCGGCTTTTTAGCACTGTGATTCGATTCGATTCGATTCGATTCGATTCGGCTAAAAACACCAAAAAAATCAATTCGATTCGATTCGATTCGACTCAAATTGGGTTTACAAAATATGGTATTCACTATTACATAGTATTATTGTTTTCAGACTGTCATCTTAGAATGAGAATAGTCTGTCGATCTTCTATAGAAATATGTTGAATAAATATAATTTATNTTGAACATTTATCAAGCTTTAAATTTAAATTTTCATTTAATAAATCACCTTTTATAAAAAATATTCTTCAATGGTTATCTAATAAGAAAATAAATTCAACGTATATATTAGATATTCATTATTTATCTATTTGGATTTCATCAAAAACATTTCATCAAACAAATTCAAATAAACGTGTTAAATTAACAAGTTAACTTTATATTTATCATTTCATAGTTTCTTCTTCAATAAAAAAATCAAATATATTTTAATAGAAGAAATCTTCGAAAGTCTTAAAAATAAAATTTGATTTTTTATTAAAGTTTTTATGTTAAAATTTCGTTGAATATTAATTATCAGATTATTCTATTGAAATTGTCTTTTGTGTTTATTATTGAATGTAAACATTATTCGAGTTTCATTTGTAATACCATTAAATTTAAACATTTGACGAGTAAATTTGATATGGGAAAAGAAACGGTTCGAATAGAGCGTCAAGTCAGCTCCAAGTTCAAAATTTTGGCTGTTCAACAAATCAACATTCGGATAAAACCTTTTATGATCATTATTTATAGGAATATTTCACCAATATCAAATACATAGATTTGTCGTACATGTGCTTTCAACTGTACATCACTGGAATTCAAATGTGAACAAGTGAAGTGTCATGAAAGTAACGTCGATAGGAATATATTATTTGGCCAAAGTTCATAAGTAAGTCGTTCAAAAGCAACTACTGTAGATAGATTAGAGGTTTACCGGCTGAGAATGATTCTAAAAGAATATCTTCAGGTGGAAATTGTTGTTGAATAAATAATGATCGCGATGATACTGATAAAATAGGAGAAACAACGGAACAGTCATTAAGTATGGCCGATTGATTGAGAAAGATTGATGTATTCATAGTAAAAGAAGATGACCAGTAAGTTGGAAACATACCATTTGAAATAGCAACAAGAATACGATGAGGAGAAAAGTACGTCCATATCTGGTCACTCACTCCGCCTCTTTTTCACACACCCTCGGTGGAAGGCCAGATTGATCTAATAAGAATCAGTTCGAATTTCCATCTATCTGTTGATTATCTCAAAAATTATCAATATTATTTTCAACTTTGTTTTCTACTCAAATTATATTCTTGATCAAAATAAAACAAAAATTCAATTCTAACTAAATTTTATGTTTTTCGAAGATCTTTTAAATAGATTTAGTAATGTTTGTAATTTTCAAAAATAAAGGTTTTTTAAACCAAAACAAACCCTACTTAAAAAATAAAAATTAATAAAAGGATTCTATCATAGAAACTATTTTTGAAAGTTTCAAGTAATGTAAACTTCAAAAAAAGATTGAAATATAAAAATAAAATACACAAAAACAATTTCCATTGCTAAATCGAAAGAAGATTATTTTAATACTGATTCCCGGATAAAAAATTTTCATTTCTATTAAATATTGAATATGAATCGAAAAACTAAAAATTGGCGAATGATTATTTTTGGCAAAATAATCGAGCGTCAATCTATTTTTATTACTAATTAATTAGAGTAGAAAATAAACATTATTATAAATATTTTTATTTCAAGACGATATAAATTATTATAATTATTTAAACATCAAATTCAATTAGGTAACACCTCATAATATTTACTATCGATTATAAGAGAAATTCAACTTAATTTAGATTGATAAAATTTGAAATTTGATTTTTTTTTGGATAATAGAACATTTCTAAATTAAAAGTAGAAGTCAATACTATTGCTGTTGTTGTTGAGTAGAAGAATATGAAAGTAGACTACCAGGATAATCAGATAACAATGAAAAACAAAATTTATATTTATTTTAATTATCGATTTAATGAGAATGCAATCCAAATCACTGTTTTTCTATGCCGTGTTGTTTTCCCGTGAACATCTATTTTATTAGGAATAAGCAGTATATTTTAATTAAGTATTTTTCTGCCACGTATTTGTCATTGTATTGGTGTTGAGTAAAGTCATATCTTATCTTTACACCAAAATTTTATACATGTGATTCGCTAAATTATGGCTAGTTGCTGTATTTGTAGATGCCGACAAGTGAAACGACGAAAAACTTTGAAGTAATAGCGATGCGTTTAAATCGAAATCGTGATGTATTTAGGTCAAAAAACAAAACAATACTCGCTCTTTATTTATTTTTATTGTTTTGTTTGATTTGAATAGAAAACTGACTCATATATATATATATATATAGATAGATAAAGATATGCATGAGTATAAGTATGTGCTTTTTCTTTTTCTTTTTCATATTTTTAGACAAAAAAAAACAAGGGTTATAGAAACTATGTCGACTCCATTCGATACGATTGATGCTGCTAATCGTCATTTTGAACAACTTTTTAATGCTGGAAAAATTGATGAAGTAGCAAAACTTTATACTTTACAAGGAAAACTTTTGCCACCCGATAAAAATATCTATCAAGGTCATGAAGCAATTCAAAAGTTTTGGCAAGGTGGTCGTGATGCCGGTATTGGTAATCTTAAACTTACGACTGGTACAGTTGTAGAAGCTGGACCGGATCGATTAATTGAAACAAGTTCATATCAACATTCATTGGATCGTGGCAATTATCAAGTTATATGGAAACGTGTTGAGGAGGGAAAAAATGATTGGCAATTAGAAATTGATATTTTTAATTGATACATTTCTTTGATTTTCAAATAAAGAAAAACAAGTCTTACCATAAACTGTATGAAATATTTAATCTTTTCTTTTTATCCAAATTACTTGAGCACATTTCTTTTTTGTACAGCTTAGTTGCGCAATTACAATGCTTGAGACTTCATGGCCAAAACACTTTTTACATTTCTTTTTCTTTTCAGCTGAAAAACGAATCAGAAGAGCAAAAATAACTACTTAGCTTTGTAGACACTGTTTCATACGGAGATGAAAATTTCATCATAAAGACGAAAATAAATGTCATTTCTATTATGATGATTTCACATTCACATGTGACGGATCTATGATTTCTCAAGCGAATACTTGAAATTCGTACATATTTATGATAATTCAATGAATTTAAGGCTTTGTCAATAGTTTTTTTTTGTCTCTAGATAAATGGAATTCGAGGCAGATCTAATCGATGACCGTGTATGGCTTGGGAGTCTTGCTGCAATGGAGAATACGATAGCACTTAGCAATCTTCATATCACACATATTTTAACTGTGATAAAATCAGAAATAAGAGTCAATGAAAACGATAATTTTGTACGAAAACAAATCTATGTTGAAGATGAAGAAATAACAGATTTATTATCTGTATTTGATTCATGTTACGATTTTATAGATAAAGCTTTATCGGAAAATTCGACTAATAATGTACTCGTACATTGTCTTGCTGGTTAGTTCTCGTTTATCTATCTTGAAAGCTTTCAATAGATTCCCTTGTGTTTTTCTTCTTAGGTGTATCTCGTAGTGCTACTATTGCATGCATGTGGTTAATGCGTCGGCATAGTTTATCAGCTAATGATGCATTCAAACGACTCAAGCTTGCACGTCCGTTTATTCAACCAAATCTCAGTTTTTGTACTCAAATATATCTATTCGAGCAAATGAACAACAAATTAGATGTTAACCATGAATTGTACAAAGAATTTCATTTTGAACGTGCTCGTACCATCTATATTGATCATGACACAGAAAATGAAGGAATCGATAAAAAAAATGATCTCCGTCAACAATATCGCCAAGCATTTACTTTACCGTACGGTCATGCAATGTGTACTGTAACAGAAACATACATTTGTCGTCAATGTCAAACTGAATTATTTACTAATGCTGATCTATCACGACATTCAGAAGGCGGTGGACTATACAATTGGTTTATGAAATATGGTAAAGATAGATTTTCCAAATTATTACCTGGAGTAGAATGTCATCAGCAATTGTTTACTAATTGTCTCCAATGGTTGATGGCTCAAATAGATACACCTACAAATTCTCATAATGCTTCTATTAAATGTCTAAAATGTTCTGAAATCATAGGAAAATATGATCTATATGGTGCAAAATGTTCATGTGGTCGATGGGTAATGCCAGCGTTTCATTTCGACATCGATAGAGTTGAAAAAAAGAACGCGACAAACATCAATATTGAAACTAAAAATGCAACAGCATAGAAAGACATGCTTATTTTTTCTGTATTATGTTTAAAAATAAATCATGAAAATAGCTTATGGGTTGTCTGATGGATAATTAAATCAAAATTGTATACCTTCAGTTATATATCAAAAACTTTCTTTCTTTCTTTTATACTGTGAATTTGATCATTCATATAAAGTACGGCCGAGTGTATAAAAAAAAAGAGCTCAATTACAAAGCAAATATTTAATAAAATACTTGATAATAGTATAACTCACAATCTATGAAATGTCTTGATGAACAATTGATGGAATGCAACTTCAAATTATATTGAGAATCATTGAGTGTATGCCCATGTATGGCAATCGCACTTACATGGACCAAAAGAATCCATGAAACCAGGTCCAAATCGATCTTGATAGAAACGACAATCATTACAATCTTTACAACTTTTTTTTACACCGTTGGATGACTGTGGTGAGCTTGACTTCGGGGATTTATCGCGTTCTAAATAAAGATAACTTTTCGATCGTCAATAAATTTAACAACTTAAAACGATTTTGTTTTTCGTTAGATATTAATTAATATAGACTGAGTTCTTTTTTTTATAGTTTCCTAACTACTTACTTTTCTTCAAAGACTCGGACCGATCATGAGGTGATCTACTTTTATGACGTGAAGATCTATCAGATGAATCATCAGAATGTCTCGATGATCTTTTCTTTTTCTTGGAAGATTTATCAGATGATTTCTTTTTATCTGGCAACTTTCCTGATCTTTGCTTTGTATGTTCTGGAGATCTATTCGACTTGTTTACAATTTTCTCAATTAAATTATCTTGTTGCGGTGAAGCTTGAGAAATACTATTATCATCAATTGTAAATGAAGGAAGATTAATTTTAATTTGTTGAAGTCTATCAAGATGTTGCTCCATTGAACGCATATTTTCTGAAAATGTATCAAAGTCTTGTTTTGTACCACCTTTTATTCTAATTAATTCTTTTAATTTATTATTCATCTCATTTAGCTGTTCTCGTTGTATATCAGTTGTTTCATCGATAATCTCTCGGCGTTTCTTTTCATAAAAATCATCGACCTTTTTATAAGCTGTTTGTTTCCATTCATCAAGTTGTTTAAGACCGGAATGTTCACCATCATAAAAAGTACTGAAACGATTCAATAAACAATTGACCTTATCAATAAATGGAAGAAGCTTATCATTGCGTTGGTTAGCATGTTCATTCAAGTGATCGATGCATAAATTCTGTCTACAACACTGACACAAAGCAAGAGACGCTAGCTCACACTTTTCAACAACGCACGGTAACGACGACGGTGACGACATTTTCTACTGATGTATGTGTAGGTAACGAAATGCAACAAGGAACAAATATTTGTAAAAGAACGAGCAAGGTTTTTTCCTTCATGACTAGTAAGTAACAAGGAACGAATGAAAAAGCTACTTTGTCAAAAGAACAGCCAAGGCGAAATATTTAAATAACAATGGTCATTCAAAACGAGAAAATCAAAGAAGAAGGAATTTTTATTTTTATTTGAAAATTTTGCACTGCACTTTACATGAACACCCTCCAGACCATGTTTCCTTCCTGTTTTTCAAACACAAGCAGCAACTCCAAAGTGCTAGCTGTACTACTAGATACTTTGTGTTCTCAAGATTTATTTTGAATACAGTGAAGAATATAATTCTATTCGTGATTCAGCATTAGTCATATTTCTGAAAACAAGATTTGAAATAAAATTTAGATTTTTCCGATCACTATATTTGTAAGAGAACCTGTGGTTGTTGGCAATCAATATATATATATATATACATATATATAATGTGCACTTTTGTCTGTCATATTATCGCAAAATAGATAAACGAAAAAGGGGTCCTTGAATTAGATTAGCAAACCGTTGAAATTTCTTTAAAAAAATAAGACTAATAGATTCCTAGTACAAAAGTAAATGAATATTGACTTTAAACAATTGAGCAACGACTATAAGACTGAATAAACAATTTTCAGTAAAGTTCTATCACTGCAAAAACAAAACTATCTTTCACACACTTTTTACAGTCAAAAATGTAAAATTTCTTCAAAAGCTGTGTTCCTAGTATTTTGTTATTTGATCAAATAATAAAATAAAATAAAGCCCACACCCACATTAATTACAAGATTATCTGAATCAGAACCAACTCAATCATGAGCCATTATTTTAAGGCAAAGTCACTTAATTAAGTACTTGGTAACTGTAACTCTCACGTAGATAAAGAAACATATTATGTTCAATTAAAATTAAATGGCTATTAGATTACTGTGAGACAACTGCAATATAACTTCAACTATTTCGTTAGGGCAATGCTGTCTTTTGAAAAACAGTAATATTTGATAGATTGTAGATGAGAATGACACGCAAATTCACACTCATGCGACTGTCCTATCTATATCTTCATCAAAGGAAAAACAAAATGTCTTTGAAAATGTGTAGTTACCGTGTAGTGCAAAGTACAGAATATACAACGCAATAGATAGCATATGAAAATAGTAGACAAAGTCAACAAACAATGAAACAAAATGAAATATTTTACATATAGAAAGATGAAGCAAAATGGCTATGCTAATAGATGAAAATTTAAAACGAGTTATTCTAATCATTTTAATGAAATGTAAACAATTATGGCGTTACATGTTTTTATTGAAATTTTCGATCTAATTCAGAAAATTCTCAAATCATATGCGTGATCTAAATATATATAAGCACTAGAAGAGCGAGACACAGGACGAAAAGAGATTTAGATTCGAACCCAATAATGCTGCCATTTCAATTTCTTGTCTTTCTAATTGTTCCCGAAGTCAATTAACTTAAACAAAAATGTAAGAGACAAGATACGAAAGAATCTAAATTGCTTTTTAGAAAATCATCAAACTGTCAATGGTGGATATATGTGTGGTAACTGATGTTGGAGAAAAAATTAGACATTATCTTAAATAGAGACAATTGTATATTTGACACGTATTATCTTTAGCGTTGGCATCACAACATGTAACAATGAAATATAGATTCCAAAATAAAATTAGGTCCACTACATCCTTAATTGTAATGCAATGAAAACAAAATTTGTGTTGCAAATGGTGTTATTTATGATACATGGCGTGCAGCAATCGAGCGATACATTTAAAAAAATATGATTCAAAGATAAACCTCAAGGCATTCGGTATACATTTTTTCTACAGAAATGGGTAATTCTTATATTTGTTTCAATTTAATTCAAATGACACATTACATCTTGAAAGTTGAATTGATCAAATCTTTTGATTTTGCTTTCTCGACCATGCTTCATCTCGAGTAGACAAGTTACAAGCTACCAGTTCAGATTTTAGGATATTATCTAGTGTGCCTTTTATAAAAAAAAATTCTTCATCGATACGAGCATATAACTCAAAATCGATGCAATTCTGTATTGTCATTGTTGCTCGCCTCTAGGCCATCAGATACTAAAATAATTTTACTATTACATCTAATCGGCAACAAAAAACATATTTTTCTATTTCGTCCGTTCAAGTGTTTTTCTCTTGCTACAGAAGGACACATAGATTTAAACAAGAATGATTGAAATCGAATAAACAACATCGTATTTGTGCTTGATCTAACTCAATAAGAAAAACTTGTCATCTGAAAAACGCGTATACTCTAAAAAAAAAATAAAGACTGTAAACGTAAAACAGTTGAATACAACCACTCAAATAACGAGATACAAAAAATCAATGGAACGATAAAAAAAGAAGTAGTAGTATTATGAGTAAACAGATAATAATTGATTAAAAATTGGCATAATTTATTATATGAATAGCTTTTTCCTGTAAACACTTCTCAGTTTTCAATTTGCATTCGTTTCAACAACAGAATTTTTTGAGAAATTCATAAGAAAAAATTCTAAAATGATAAATGTCGACCGAATCGGTGACCTTTTCCCTATGAAACACTCAGTGAAACTTGAAGAAATGCCCCTTGATTCAAAATACTAGGTTTTCATACCAAAAGCTGAAAATCTTTCATTCGAATTTTGACATCTGATGAAATAGTTTACAAAATAAATCTTGATTAATAATCTCCATTAGAAATATTGCTTACCATTAGTTCTCATGATTCTAAAAATGCCATAAAAGTTTTTATCCGAGATAGTAGATATCTTATTGGGAAAAGAACTGACTGATATCGAATATTTAAGAAACACTAATTTTCTGGCATGTTCTATGAGAATGAAAACAAGTTTAATCACTCAATATCTCGAGCAGAAACTAGCCTAAAAATTATCCGATCTAATGGTACAAAATCTTTCGACATGCAATAGTAAAAATTCGAGCCAGCACTAAACTCAGATTTGTAGTCAAATATAATTACAAATCAAAGACGGCAGTTTTGAAGACTAATGTAGAATCGAAAAAACATAGATTCTATGTCATATCCTAAAACTGAAAACTTATAAAGAAGTCTACAGTAGAAAAATTTTTGTTGTTGAATATTGATTTGTATTGATGTATGCTTGTCCACGTAATTAATCTTTCATCTCGGTGTTTCCACCTGAAAACACATCGTATAATTCGAAACAAAAACTAATCGACATACGTCTCTATGTTCACATTAACATCAATATTTCTATTATGTTCTTATAAAGGTAAATGACTCTCATCGCTTGAATATTCAGCATAATTAAAAATAGCCATCTATCATTAATTTAAGCATAATTGAGTAATAAAAATCTTCATTCAGTGAATAATAAACAATAAAATAATTTAGCAACTGTTACACTATAATGTGTTACATTACATTAGATTACACTGATAGGATTTTTTCAATAGTAATCTAAATATATGACTGAAATAGAAAAAAAGAAAGCCTGCTGATATTTAATTCACAATATATTTCAATAATAAATACTGTAAAATGGAGCATTGTACTAAGAATAATAGTATATTATAGCACACCTATGTAATGACGACATCTATATACTTGTTCACGATTTGTCGATAATATTACTATGATCGGTCCTTCATTCCATGTATCTATATCTTTTTGTTGTTGTTTCTCTCACTGATCATTTCATAGATACTATTCGATTGTGTGTCCTGTTTCTTTTTCAGTCCATTCAACAATGCTGATAAAATTTCTTTTAATTAATTTGCTATTTTTTATTGTATTCATAATTCATGTCATCAGTAGTATAGGTAAGTTATAATATTTCTTTTTTGAAATAAATATTTAGAAAAAAAAACTCCTCTTGCTGTATAGAACAATGCAATTCAAAAGAAACATGTTCACCATGCCTTTCATTGTCAAATCAATGTGCTTGGTGTACTCAAGTAATATAATTAGATAAGTTTCAAAAATCATTTTAGTGTTTAACATTTATTAAATAGAATTCAACTGATATTTCAACACGTAATGGATCATTTTTCCATTGTGATACTATTGATAATTTACAATTAACATGTCCAGATCATTTAATATCATTTAAAAGTTATCATTATGTTTTACAAAATGATTCACTTTCAAATGCCATTAACAGTACGTCGCAAGCGGTTCAATTATCGCCTCAAGCTGTTCATGTTGTATTAAGAATAAGTAAAATAAATAATATATACAATAATCCAAAAATACTTTTTTGTTTTTCCACTTTTAGATGATTCAGAAAAAATTCCGATACATTTTCGTCAAGCTGAAGACTATCCTGTAGATTTATATTTTCTGATGGATTTATCACATTCAATGCTTGATGATAAAGAAAAATTGAGCCATCTTGGCAGTATATTAGCCACAAAAATGCAATCTATAACAAAAAATTTCCGTCTTGGTTTTGGTTCATTTGTTGATAAAAATGTTCCACCATTCGTCCAACCAGCACCGAATACGTAAACTATTTTTTTCAAGAGACAAATTTCGATTGAAATGATGTGTACTTTTTTATTTAGAGTTGAACGTCCGTGTCCAACAAGTTATAATGGTCCATGTGTTAAAGCTTATGGATTCAAACATCACATGAGTTTATCCGATAATGTTACTGAATTTGAAGTAAGCAATTTTGAACAACGTAGAAAATATTTATTACACTTTCATGTTTTATTTTTTAACTATTAGTATCAAGTACGAGAAGCTCCAGTTTCGGGAAATATTGATGCACCCGAAGGTGGACTCGATGCTGTTATGCAAGCTATTGTTTGTGATGTATGTCAATGGAAATTTAAAATATAAACAAACATTGATTTCATTTTTCAAGGATGTTATTGGTTGGCGAAACAATTCTCGAAAATTGATTGTTTTTTCAACTGATGCTGGTTTTCATTATGCAGGCGACGGACGAGTATGTAATTTATGCACGTTAAACAATGGCACTATTCGTAGTTTGTTTCTCGCAATCTAGTACTAAGTCTTTTTGACATTCAGTAAGGCTCTTCGAAAGATCACGGTATGCATGATTGCTAAAACTGCAACGATATTAGCTTTCAGTAGAATAGTACTGATATAATTCATAAAATTAATTAAATCAATTAGTTTTCCTTTATTTAAATTTCTTAAATTATTTTCAAACACTTACAATGATTTATCTTCAAAAATATGATTTAATTTTTAAAAAGATTGATTTTGCTATAATTTGAAGGAAAAACAAAATATTGATTAGATTTTTCTTTTGTATTTAGTTAGCAGGCATTATTGAACCGAATGATGGTGAATGTCATATGGTTAATAATGAATATACACATAGCGATAAACAAGTGAGAATTCCGTATTGTTGACAACAAAATGATAGAGTAAAAACATGTATTTTTTTAAAGGATTATCCATCCATTGGTCAAATAAGTGCGAAATTGAGTGAAAAAAATGTGAATATTATATTTGCTGTAACACAATCTCAATTAGCTCTCTATCAAACACTTACCGAGTTGATTGACGGAGCAGTTGTTGGTGAATTAAAACAAGATTCAAGTAATATTGTTAATCTAATAAGTCAAAACTATAAGGTTTTTATTTTTCTATGCTTAAAACAAAGAATATATTCTTTTTTTTCTGATATTTAGAAAATCTCATCATCTGTTATGATGATGATTTCCAATGATTTATCTGATGGTTTAACAGTGAAATTTACACCCGATTGTCAAGAGTAATACTTAATCTCGGAGATTTTCCTAAACCTTTTCAATTTTTATTGATCACTTTTTTCTAGAAGTAAACGTAATAAACCTGAATGTACTGTTAGTGTTGGTGGTGTTGTAAGTTTAATAGATGTATTCTATTTTCTTCAATTGTCAATTGTATTTTTCTTCAGCTCAATTTTGAAGTGGAAATTCTTGCAACAAAATGTATTAACAATGGTACAGCAACTACCTTTTCAATCTATACTCATGGACTGAATGATAAAATGCGTATAACTGTTCAAACGAATTGTTCATGTTTCTGCTCAAAAGTTCCACGTCAAATAAATAGTCCAAAATGCTCAAATCATGGTACATATGAATGTGGCGTATGTACATGTGCGAAAGGTTTCTATGGACGTGAATGTGAATGTGATACAGCATCGCCAACAGTTGAATCAAAAATTGAACGATGCAAAAAGTAAGAAAAAAATATCCACGAAAATTTCAGTTTTTTATGATTATCGTATTTCATACAGGCCGGGTTCGTCAGATATTTGCTCTGGCAGAGGACAATGTGCTTGTGGGCGATGTAAATGTGAAACAACAACAATTGAAGTAAGTTCTGAAATAAATGATATTCAACAATTTTCTCTTCTCTACTGTTCAGGCTGGTCAACGCATTTATGGTGATTATTGTGAATGTGATGATTTTTCATGTCCAAGAAAAAATGATCTTGTTTGCTCGGGTATGTCAAAATTGTTGAAGACAATTATATTTATCTAATTTTAAATATTCGTATTTAGGACAGGGTCATGGTATATGTGGTTGTGATAAACGATGCAAATGTCAAGAAGGTTGGACCGGAGACGATTGCTCATGTACAACAAAGACGGATAGTTGTCTTGTCAATAATGTAAAAGAAAATTAGAAATTTTTTCCTGTAAATGATTTTTTTTCTTTTGTGATCAGACTATTTGCAATAATCAAGGCATTTGTGAATGTGGCAGATGTAAATGTAACAAAGATTCTGGATATTTAGGTCCAACATGTGAAGACTGTCCTGTAAGTTTAAATAAGCTAACCTTCCTCAATATTTATATATATACTTCGTAATCTGTTGCGTCTTTTTTCTTATTTAGAAAAGGAAATCAGTTGAATTGCATGTCCTTATTTTTGTTTTCTGAGAATAAAGTGTTACTGAATAAGGCAGTATTTGTCGATTTCATTCTTTTATCAAGTAATGATAGTAAGAAAAAGCTAACATTTGATCAGAAGTCAGAGAATTCGAATCTGTGTTCAGCTTTAATTTTCTTCTCTATGATATATAGTATAAAATTACAAGGTACTAATTAATTAAATCCAAAAATCCTTCAGCAAATTTTATGAAAGATCCCTGTCTCATTATTCTATCTTTTTTCGAAATAAAATAAACGCTTGGATCTTAGCGCAATGACATGAATTTCGCTGATCTTTTGTTGTACTTATCACGAATAGTCTCAAGTGTTAAAATTGGATTGGTGCAACATTCTTGAAAAGAAACTAATTTTATCCAAAGAAAAACATTTACGTGTAAATGTGAAGAGCGTATAAAAAATGCATCAAGGCTAATGATGTTTACCTGTATTTCTGTCAGATTATATCCCAAAATTCAAAGAATATGTAAAATAAATATTCTGCACCTATTAAAATAACATATTAGAATAACAATACAAAGTGTTGAAATGTTTTAGACTTGTGAACATCGATGTGCTGCTACAAAAGATTGCGTTCTTTGTAAAATATTTGATAGCGGACCACTAACAAATGAACAATGTGATCGATGTTCATATCGCTTTGACACTGTTGATGATGCACGAAGTATTACTAAGATTTCTATTTTGGCATCCATTTGATTTATTTTAATATTTGATTTTTCTTTAACAGAAGATGTTAATTATCGTTTATGTCAATTTGATGATGAACAAGATCAATGTCGATTTTTCTATACGTATCATAACGAAAATGATCAACTTGTACTGCGAGTACAAAAAACAAAAAGTAAAATTTTTGATTTAATTATGAAAAGACATTTCATTTCGGTTTACGAATAGGTTGTCGACGTGTTTTATCAGTTCGTTCAACAATAATTATTATTGTTACAAGTATATTAGCATTTGGCTTATTTTGTTTAATGATATGGCGTATGTTAGCAACACTACATGATAGACGAGAATTTGCTAAATTTGAACAAGAACGTGAAAAAGCTAAATGGGAAACTGTAAGATTTCATCAGATTGATTTGCTTATTTAGTGTGCTCCCTTCTTTTTCCATAGGATGTTAATCCATTATATCGACAAGCGACTGTTAAATATCAAAATCCTACTTACCGTGGTTACAAAGTAGCTGCTGCATTAGATAGCAATCATTGAACTTTTCTTTTTTTAATATTTGTAATCTGAATATTTTCTAGTCCTGTTTTGTTCTTTTTTTTTATCATTACTAGTTAGTCTATTTAATCATTGACTGTCACATTTCTTTTAGGTCAGATCACGTTTTTTTTCTGCATGTTGTCAAACAATAATAGTCTTTTGTATAATCTCAGATATAACAAAATACATTTTAATCAAATTTTTCATTTTCTGTATTTCTAGAAAATATTAAAAACAAAAGAGAAACAATGATTAATTAAAAACTTTTTCTTTTTTGCATAACTAACTAACGTAAGCGAAATTAATTTTTTTTTCTTTTTTCTGTATTAATGTTCTAATTGAAATTTTTCTATTTAGTCTTCTTTGTTGTTTTTCTATGAAATGCGTCTGATGGATCATCACGATAATTCACAAGTCCTCAAACGAGACAATAGCAATGACTCAAGTCCAATACCAACACCATCGCCACCACCAAATAATCTACGTGTGAATAGTGTTGTACGTTTAACAACTATTTTTGATGATGTTCGAACTGGAAAAGTTGTAGCATTTGATAATGGATCAAATATGGTTACATTACGTAAGTAGCAAAAAGAAATTCTCTTGGTTTAATTTTTACATCAAAAACTAAAATTTCAGATATGAATGGCACAAAACCGGGCTTAACAACTATTGCAGTTGTTAACCTGATTCATTGTCGGGAATGGGCTGTTGTCAAAGAACCTAATGATGAAACACTTGAACCACTTTTTCCAATTGATATAAATAAAGTAAGATAGATGCACAAATATTTTCAAATAAACTCTCTTCTTTACTTAATGGTAACGTGTAGAAAAAATATGACAAAAAGCTAGATTAATTGAAACAGGTTGCAATTTCGCAGAAATATTCTCTTCAAATCCCATTGATAGAGTTCGATGAAACGTCTCAAGAAAATCAACAGGTCAATGAGCAGATTTCCACAAAATATATTATGCTAACAAGCTCATCTAATAGAGAGAATATTTATGAAGAAAATAATATATGCCAGAGGTTTACATAGCCTATCTTGAACAAATGACAATCATTTTGAGATAGGTGACAAACGCTTTTGTGACTTTGCTATGTTTTTATATTTTGTTATCTTTGATACAATAGGTGCGGTTCGCTGAAGCGATATCCTAGAAAACTAAGGTAGATATTATTAATTCTAGGTGGATTTGTTCATAGGCAAGTTTTTACCATAATCGAACATTCTTGCTTTGAGATTTTACGATAATCTGTTGAATTTCAATTTCGCTAAATATTGGTTGAGCTAATTTGTCAATATTACATTTTTCTTTGATATGTTCTAATTGTTATCGTTAAGAAAAGAAATCTAACACAATGAGTTGCTTTCATTTTTTGTTTCTATTTTTATAAAAGAAAACGAATTATGGATTTTTTTCATTATTTATTTAGTTGAAAAAACGCCAAACAGAAAATGAAGCTGAAAAGAAGAAAGAAGCATCATTTATTAATTTAAAGGCCAGTCGTACTGGTCAAGCACTTTTTCGAGATATCAAAAAAACGTAAAAATTAATTTTTAAATAAGAAGAAAAAATTTCTATTGTTTTTGTCTATAGAATGAATCAAGTTATTCGTTGGTCAAATAATGATATTCTTATCAACAATACTGTTCGAATTGTTGACCCATATCGTGCAGAAAATGTCTCAATTGATCCTCCAACACAACCAATAAATGCTGCGAATCAGAAAACATCAGCCAAAGGAGATAATGATACAAAAACGCATATTATTAAATTGGTAAGTTCTAAAAAAATCAAGTACTGTTTAATAATGAAAACAACATATTTTGTTTATATTTAGGTGGACAAATTCTGGTCGGATCAAACGAAACTGGCTTCAAATACTGATTCTAATTCAACAACAAGAACTAAATCAGGCAATTCGAGTAAAACAACGGATTCAACATCAACAAGTTGATCGATATCTTTATATCTTCTTTTATTCTATAGCTCTCTGTTCTTTTGACTTAGATCTCAGATGTTCTTTTGTGCGTGTGTGTGTGTGTGTGTATAAAATCGTTATTGTTCGTCTGTTTCTTTTTTTCTCCGACTGTTCAAGAGTGGATCATAAAACCAAAAAAAACTAAGTTTTTCTTGTTGTCTGTTTTTTTCTTTGTTTCACTTTAGCATTATGATTATCTTCTTTTATTACCCCTTTCTTTTTTTATTGTTACAACAACATCCACGTACACACACTAACTATTTTTTGATCTGCATGTTCGTTCGTTTATTGTGCAAGAGAGAAAAAAAGGAAAGAAAGACAAGAAATAAAGGAGTCTGTTGCTGCTGCCATTTATTTGACATAGAAATTTAGAGAGACCATGTTATCAGTGCAAGATCAATAAGTGCTTGTAAATGTAAGAACACTGTTATGTTGAACTATAAAGTTAAGAATTGTATGTGTGATGCAATATAACTATCTGCGCATTAGACTTAAAACTCCATATGTGTATGTGTGCACAATATATATATATATATATATATATATATATATATATATATATAATATAGACAGTATATAACTATGATACGAAATTAACATATAAATCATACATGAAAGAAATGTGCTCAGATTATGTGAAATTATTCACATGGTCAATTTTAGTATTGATTGATACATAAAAGCATAAATATTGTACAATGGAGAATGACAAAAGAATGATGACGATTGTGTTTTTAATTTAATACAATAGGAAACCGTCTGGTATGCGTTTTATATGAAGCACAGACAGACACAGTCACGTTTGTTATAGAAAATTATTCTTGCAATCATCCGCATTTGATATCGATCATAATTTTTAATAAATATGGCTAATGAAACAGAAGCAAAAAAAAACAATCTCTTTCTTTCGCTTGTTGTACAATGATATTGTCCATATGCCTGTAATGATAATGGGAGATGACATACCGTTATTATGACTAGTGCATACAGAAAATGATATCATTCATTTTGTTATTTTTTCGATCAAGATAGATCAATTTCAAATCGTTTTTATTACAACATACACAACATATTCGTATACAGTTTTGTCTTCGTCCTACCAATATCATGATATTGATGATGTCATCATAATCATAGAGCTACTCACATTGATTTTGACAAACAAAGATTAAAGAATACTAATCTTTCATCATGGTTGTCATGAAAATGGGTGAAACTACTAAATGGTCAAATATTGCTGTCGGCCGAAATCCACTCAAATTACCAACTTCTTCGATGCCTAATGTTAATCTGACTCCAATTACAAACAATACAAATGGCCATCTTTCACCAAGCTCATTCCATAGCCAACGCTATCGTACTGAGTTATCGTTAAATATTGCAGACTATACCTATATTTGTAAACGAACAGTAAGTGTTTTATTTAGCTACGTTAGATTCTCAGCAGTTTTTTCATCACTATCCATACTAATGCTGGAGTTTTCTTCTGTATGATGTTTGTTATCGTCATATAATAGATTTTGTAGGGGGACAAGAAAAAAGAAGTAACAAGTTGCGGTGTTATTCTATTAAAAATGGAAGGTATCATCATGTTTTTTTTGACTAGATCAACATATCATGGAAGACAGGATATAGCATAAAGCAATTCATCATTTCTTTCATCGTTAGATAAGACTAGTGGGGAAAGAAAGCAGCATATTACTCACACGTATCTCGAGCTCAATGACAGTAAACAATAATTTTTCAACAAGGCACTTGTTCGAAAAAACAATTATCCATTTAGCTTTAAGATGACCAATATTGCTATTTTAGGATATAAGATAATTTTTTTTATTTGTGACACATTCTTTTGTCTTTGCATTGCTGTTTATTTCTTGTCTTTTATATATTTGACGCTGACATGTGTTGAGGTTAATTTTATCAGAATAATATTTATATATATATTGCATTGACTTTTATGCCATTCCTTTCTCTACATATCTTTGACGTATCACTGTCTATTATCAGACTTTTTTTCCGACTCTTCTCCTCTTCTTATATAGGCATCCATATACTTTCTCTTACAAATCGACACATATTATACATATGCATATACACTGTGCCCCATTGGTCTGGCTGATTGTTCAGAAAGCAATAAAAACAGATATGCATGCCGTACGAAGAAAAAATAGAGAATGACCATAATCGTGATCATTGACTTCTTACGATCTCGCAGAAGATAAATGAGATGCCACGAGATGATAAACATCAACATTTTCCCATGGAATCATTTTGGGTAAGACTGGTTAGCTTTTCTATTATGATTATAATAGTATTTTCTAAAATGACAAAACAAAAACAAAACGATCAGAATCTATTGAATGATGATTGCTAGTTACTATCAAAACATAAAAGACCTTTCTAGAGACAAAGAAAGAACGTTTGGGATCTAATGTATGCAATCACCAGCTGAGGAAAAGATTTATTGATTAACAAAGAAACGTCTTTTGTGAATTTATTAATTGTAATGTACGTCAATTAGTACTGTGATTTATTTAGAATTCGGAATATTTACGAGAAAAATTGCATCGATTAGAAAATGAGCGCAGTTCATTGAATTTACAAATTCAAGTTTTAACGGATAAACTAGAGCTTCAGCGTGATACTATTCAGGAATATGAACAATTACAACGCAGAACAAAACCCAAATATCGTCATCCAACAACGAATACAAATAATTTCTACGATGCTCATGTTCATCAACAACCATCTTTCATACATCACGTATGTACAACATCTACATCTCATTAGACGATCTGATCTTAACAGTAGAATTCATAGAAATGATGTTATTTCGGTCAGTCATTGTAGAAGATGTAAAATATACATATATCGACATAGAAAAAGAACAAATGTACGCGTGTGCTTGCCTTTTCTCTCGTATACAGCTATAGACGCTCAACGCAATAGTAGATGCTAAAGAGAATTTGCATAGTGAGTAAAATAGTAGTAGTTGTCGACGTCGTCATCATTACTATCGAAAACAGAACACTCGTAGACAGAAAAAAAGGACACAAATATAAGAGTGAGAAAGAAAGAGAAAGACAAAGAAAAATACGAAAATAGTATTAGAGAAAAAAGAAGAAAAAGAAAAAGAAAAAGAAATGAAAAGAGAACAGGTTGGCGCTTGAGTTGTATATGTCTGTATTTTTCATACCTTTGCCATGGTCAGTATTTCATCCATCACTAACATTCGTTCATTTTATTCGAAATGAGCATTGTAGTAAAAACATTAGCTTGTGGTAGTAGTCTAACAAATGGTACTAATAGCAATATTAATAATATAAAATCTGTGCGCTTGAGACAAACTACAGGTGGAATAATGCCATCCAAAAAGGGAAAGGTTAGTGAAGAACATTCTTTTCATGAAAGAATCCCAATATATGATGTATGCGACATATTTCTAATGCACAAATGTTACATAGGGAAAAAAATGTTTAACATAAAAATTTCGTTTTAATTGCAAACCAATTTTTTAATGTTTATTCTAGGAGTCGTCAAAAACAATACTGGATTCGTCACAATTTTTAAATGAAATAAATCATTTTAAACTTCGCCTTGATACATTAGAAAAAGAGCGTTATGAACTTGAAGATAAAGTTCGACGGCTTCAGGTATGTTCCAGTCTTATTCGTTTTATTCAATGAAAACAAAATTTTTTTGAATAACATTTGTCGTAACTTTGAAGGAAGAAAATGAAACATATAAAAGTCGTCTTGCTAATGGGAATAATGATTGGATTGGATCGCGGTCAACATCAGCGCTCAATGGACGAACAACCCCATTGTCAACAGCTGGTAAGAAATAACTTATGATGCAATAAGGCTTTAATGTGTATGTAGTAGGAGGCGTAAATGTAAATTTACTTCTATTTGACCAATCTCTTCAAGGCAAGGTCAAATATTTCTCGTGGGAGAGAAAGGAATACGATAGGATACACTATGATGATGATGATAATGATGTTCTATCCGTTCTACTACTACTTTCTTGGGTATTTGTCTTGCCTATTTTTTTCTCCTGAGTTTCTTTTTCTTCTATTTCTTCTCTCTTTTTCTTTATTCTTATATTTGTATATATATATATATATATATTGTCTATGTACAAGATTGTCCAATCTATCAAATAATTATGTTGTACTAAGTTGAGTTCCGGACTAAGGAAAAATTATCTAGAAATCGTATGTCGTCCTACGTTACGTCCGGGATCGATTCCGAACCATGGCTCTTTCCCTATCGACATGCTACTACCACTAGTACACTGCCACCACGATATCCATCTCAACACTCTTCACGTCGTGGTAAGTACGAAAAAGAAGGGAAAAAAAGAAGAAGAAACGGACACAATTTAGCAATGTACATGTGTCAGCTGTAGATAGTCGAGGTCATTCAATGTTCACACATTGGCGAGTTCAAATACGATCTACACTTTTTTCTTTCTTTCTCCTGCTGTGATATTTTTGCTTTCTATTCCTTCTCATTGATTCACATAAATTCATTCTTGTTCGTGTTCTTCTTCCTATTACTGTCATTGACAAGAACAGTTGCTTAAAATTTGCTTGTCTTGTTTCATAGAGAATGATATCGAACGTTTAAGACGACGCATTGAAACTCTTGTCAAATCAAACGACGAGAAAGTAATTATTACCCATTATGATTCTGCAAACTGTCTGTCTATTCGACATACCATTTATTATCTATTTTAGGAAAGAAAAATTGAAGGTTTACAAAGTCAAATAACTAAATATCAATCAAATGCCTTATCATCGATATCAAGTACAAATGGATCTTCATCACTGATATCGCCCTCGGCTAATTCGAAAAAGGTCGAGAATACTGGTAAACATAACTCATTTGAAATATGATCATGTAAAGGCTACTCTCAATTTATTTAGTCAATAATAATAATACACAAAAACCTGGTTACGAAGCAGACGGTGA